AGTCATACTGTTTTTTGGTCCCTTTCCTCCAGGACTGCAGTATGATGTCTCCAGCTCTTTTAGAAATGCCCTGTGTTTCAAGGGATCTCCTGATAGTCTGCAGGCCATCAGTATCATTTTCTTRATARGTGGGTGTGTTATGTCCTWCTTTCCTGGCATTTGTAGAGTTTTTACTTGGTTTGGTAGAGTCCTTGGTACAGCTGTTAACATGTGTAACAGCTGAGAATACCATGGTTGGGTTGCCCACATGGGAACTATTAGAATGCCTTCGGACTCCTCCATCTGTATCTTCTGCAGGCAACGAGATATTAAACTAAATGGAGGGAAAGCATAGAAAAATTGGTTATTCCAACTTATTGAGAAAGCATCCACAAAAGTTGCCTCTGGATCAGATTTCCAAGACACGAAACAAGGAACTTGCTTGTTTAGTCTTGACGCAAATAAATCAATAGAAGGCTCTCCACATATTTTGGTTATTTGTTGAAAAATGTTTGGGAACAGCATCCACTCCTTGTTGTCATTAAATACTCTAGACTCTTTGTCTGCACGTATATTGTCTTTCCCTGGAATATGGGCACATGACAACCAAATTTTCCTTTCCATGCAAAACAGCCAAATGGCTTTTGTAACACCATTACAATCCATGGAGTGTGTCCCCCCCATTGCGTTAATATAGTTAACAGTAGTGGTATTATCAGAATAAATGCGAATATGTGTTGAGTGTAGATTACTACAAAAAGATTTCAAACCATAGAGTACAGCTGTTAACTCGAGGCAATTAATGTGTTTGTTTGACTCACTCTCATTCCACCTGCCTCCTGTTCTGTTAGAACCCATTACTGCACCCCACCCTAAGTTGGATGCATCAGTGTACATGTTGTTACACTCAGAATTAGGTATACAAATGGGGTAATCCACATTTCTTATGTTGTCACACCACCACTGTAGTTCTAGCTTACTTTCATCTGATAACTTTAAATGACACAGGTAATTTCCTTTGTTCTCCTTAAGGGCTTTAGTCTTATCAGATTCAAGGTTTCTATAAAAAAGAGGGCTATGCAAAACCCCAGGAAAACTAGATACCAACAGACCAATAACTCCTGCTAGCTCTTGAATAGTGATGTTCTCACTACTTAGCAATCTGAGGCACTTATTCTCAATGTTGRTGATCTTTTCAGGGGTTAAACTCACTGTCATTGTCACAGAGTTAAGGGTAAATCCCAGAAATATCAAAATCTGTGTTTGTTCTAATACTGATTTAGTTGAGTGAACAATAAACCCTAACTTAGTAAATAAATCACATGTGTTAGCAATGTTAGCCTTGCAATCTTCTACCGTTTCCCCCTGTAGGTAGGAGTCATCAATATATCCTACACTCAAGTGCCCTTTTTGTCTAAGGGTTGCATAAATTGGTTTTAGGATCTTTGTAAACAATCTAGGGGCACAGGAAAGGCCATTGGGCAAACAGACAAATTGAAACAGCTTTCCATTCCAGTAGAATTTCAGATATTTTTGGTGTTCCACATGTATGGGCACTGAATAGTAGGCATCTCGCAAATCTACAGATGCCATATAGCAATTTTGTTTCATTAATCTTACAGCTGATTGCAATGTGTCCATCTTAAAATGATGATATTCTACATGGTCATTCARGTTTTTCAAATTGAGGATCAGCCTGTGGCTGCCATCCTTTTTTGGCCTTATAAAAATAGTAGAAATGTATTCTCCAGGGCAGTGGGTTGTTTCTGTTTTCACACCCTTCTTTAGGAGCTTAGTAATTTCTCCCTCAATATTTTTTTGTTCTCTAGGAGTGAAATTTATCTTCTTTG